AATAGACAAACATAGTATGCATGCACTCATAAGTGGATTCCAGACATAAAGCAAAAGATACCCAGCATACAATCCATAACCCCAGAGAAGCTGGAACCCTCTTTCCAAAACAGAGGGAAGCAGATACAGATATCTACAACTAACTATTGGGCTGAACTCCTTGAGAACAATCAAAGTGAGGAAGGAGCAATAATATGAACTATCGAGTGGGAATCAAGATTCACTGGACTCAGTATAGGTTAAGTGAGATTTATTTAGGGAAACTTCACTTACACATGAAACAGATGACTGCCGCAGGTTCCTGCTTCATGGATGCCACCCTGCCACCCGGATGCTCTCTGGAACCCAATCAGGAAACAAGAGAGGGAGCTGGGGATCCCAGACCTAGTCATCATGTTTCCCCCTCCTCTGTCTGGTCTGCACCTGTGACCATACCCAAATGGGCGTGGTCAGTGCTACAGGTTCAGGCAGGGTAGATATCTCACTAGGATTCCCTTTTTAGTCTAAAGAAAAAGGATTTAAAGTTGATACGAATGTTGTTACTTTGTTACAGTTATGTTATAGGATAAAGTTGGAATAAGATGGAGAAGGGGACAGGGTAGTGTCCCTCGTGAGGATCCCAAAGTAAGGGACCTCGTGGGAGAGCATAACAGGTTCCATGGCAGGAGAGGGTGACCGAGGTGGAGGGACAAACACACCAGGCAGATAGAGCTTGAGTGAGAAGTTTATTTAGAAAGGGGAGTGAAGGGGAAGGGAAGAGACATAGAGGCACCAGGAACAGAAGAGAGAGAGAGAGGAGAGCTGTAAAAGAAAGCAAAGAGAAAGAGCAAAAAGAGATCATAAGTGGGTGGGGTCTGTCTTTTAAAGGGGTCCTTTGCACCTGTGTGCAGACTATGAAACCATGGAACCCAGGGCTGACCAGAGTACTGCCCGAGTGCATTCTGCCAGGTGACAGGGGCAGACCAGCATAATGCTTGAACCCTTACAACAAAACTATATATAAAGATAGATAATATCAAGTATGCTCTAGGCAGAGGAAAAGTAAAAACAAGCACACTTAAGACCTATTGCCTAAAAAAAAAAAAAAAAAAAAAAAAAAAAAAAACCTATTGCCAGTGAAGCAACAAGAGCAAATGGTAAGAAATACAATGAACAAAGGTGTCAAGACCATTATGGGGAAACCCACAGAATCAGCTGACCTGAGCTAGTGAGAGAACATTGACTCTGGTCTGACAAATGGGGAAACCTGCATAAGACTGAACTAGACTCCTTTAATATAGGTGACAATGGTCCAATTGGGACAATATATGAGGCCACTGGCAGTGGGTCCAAGATCTAACACTAATGCACAAACTGACTTGGTGGAGCCCATTCTATATGGAGAGATAACTTGCCCAGCCTAGACAAAGGAGTGTTGGGGGTGGAGAAGCGCCTTGGTCCTGCATCAATGAGATGATGGGACACACTTAGTAGACTTTCTAGGGGAGACCTTATCCTCTGGGGAGCAGATGGAAGGTAGGAGGGAGGAGAGGAGGGAAGGGAAACTTGGATTGGAATGTAAAAAATAAATTAATAAAAAATGTTTTTTAAAAAAGATGTGTTACAAATGTGTTAGGATGCAGGGATGTATAGCTTTCTTTTATGTTGAATTTGTCTAACTCTGTGAAGCGGTGATTCTTTGTCTAAAATACCTGATTAATCTAATAAAGAACTACATGGCCAATAGCGAGGCAGGAGGAAGGATAACCAGGGCTGGCAAGCAGAGAAAATAAATAGAAGGAGAAAAAGAAAGATCTAGGAACAAGAGAAGGAAGGAGAAAAGAAAGGTCCAGCCAGCCATGGAGTAAGAATAAAATTAAGATACACAGAAGAAAGAGAAAGGTAAAAGCTCAGAAGCAAAAGATAGACAGGATGGTTTAAAAAAAAAAAGCTGGCTAGAAACAAGTGAAGTTAAGGCCAGGAATTTGTAATAATAAGCCTCTGTGTATGAGTTATTTGGAAGTGTATAGAGTGTATAGAGTAAAACAACCAACAACACAGAAGAGTGGGTGCTGGGAACTGAACCCCTGGTCCTCTGAAAGAGCAGCCCAAGCTCTGAATCACTGCACCATCTCTCCAGTCCTTAGGTGAGAGAGAGATTAGTGCCTTGATATACAAGATAGAGAGTGACTCAACTTTGGATTACCATGAGTATGTTACATATGTTCCAACAAACAGGGCACATGCACACATGCACACAACATGGACCCACTTGAACCCTGTTGATGTGGGGCACTTGGAAGTGAGTTTGGGGGCATCAAAAGAGCTTGTGGGAGTCAGTCTGCAGACTTGATGGCAAGTGCTTTTACCCCCTGAGCCTTTGCAGGGCCCTGGTGTGTGTGAGTGTGTGTGTGTGAGTGTGTGTGTGTGTGTGTGTGAGTGAGTGTGTGTGTGTGTGAGTGTGCACGTGCATGTGCATGAGTGCCCTTATGAGTGTATGATCTGGTGTTTTATCTGCTGCACCACCTTCATGCAGTACTCATGAAGTAAATAGCCGAAAGCAGCCTTGTGGGTGCCATATCTTGAACCTGGGTCCTCTGGAAGAGCAGCCAGTGCTCAAATTACCGAATCATCTCTTCACCCTGCAGGATTTTCTTTCTTTCTTTTTTTTTTTTTTTCAGAAGGGGGTCTCAATAGCCTGGGCTTACCTGGAATTTGCTGTGAGGATGGCCTTGAATTCTTGGCCCTCCTGCCTTCCTCTCTATCTCCAGAGTGTTGCATGATAGTAATGCACTTCCACATCTGGATTCTGCGGTCCTGGAAATGGAACCTATGGCTTGAGTGTGCTCAGTTATGGCTCTTCACACTGAGCCCCTCCTTGAGGTCATTACAGCAACTTCAACACCGAGGAAGTCTCATCCCTCCTAGTTTTCTTTGTATGTGTGTGGGTGGGTGGGTGACAGTTGAGATGTGGTCTCATTTAGTAGCCCAGGCTCAATGATCCTCCTGCCTCAGCCTTCCCCAGTGCACATATGAGCTATAGGTTAGGACTTTTTCCCCCATTACTTTAGAATTTTCATCAAAGTTTGTATTCATGTCTGCTGTTCCCTGTGTCTTAGGTATTATTTTTCTTTTCCTTTCAGATTTTTCCATTTGTCAGCTGTGAGGAATCAGACACAGGACCACACCATTACCCTCCACAGTCACCCTCCTCTGCCTGAGTAGAACCCCTCATCATTTGGTCAGGAGTTGGCTACAGAGTACGCAGAGACTCATGGCTTGAGTGTGGAAAGACTCTTTGGAGTAACCAGGGGGTATGATGTGAAACAGGCCATCATGAGGCAGGAAAGGAGTATAGGGGAGCCTGGGCAGGACACAAAGCTGCCCAGATCACATCCAGTCAAGAGAAGAAAGCCAATGCAGACACCTTTCCTGGCCTGTTTCCTCTCAGATCCCTTCCACCCACCACCTAGGAAATGCTGCCACCCACAGCTGTAGCAGGCTTTCTCAGACTGTCAGTCCCTCAAATCATGACTTGGAGACTTATTATTTGTTACAAATGCTTGACCTTAGCTCAGGCTTGTCCCACTAGCTCTTACAACTTAATCTTTTAAATCTTCATCTATGTTTTGCCTTGGGACTTTTTACCTTTCATTCTGTATGTCCTACTCCATTTCCAGCTGGCTATCCCCAAGTGCTTCCTTCTCATTCTCCATCCTTGTTTTCTCTGCCCACCAGCCTAGGCTATGCCTCTACTGTTTAGCTATTGGCCTTTCAGCTCTTTATTAGACCAGTCAGGAGACTTAGGCAGGCAAGGTGAAACAGCAACACATCTTTACATAGTTAACAAACACAGCATATACAAATATGACACATTTTTGCCTAGTTAAATAATCCACAACACACAGTGGGTTAGGGCTTTTCAGATCAGTTAGATTTAATCAAGACAGTTCCCCACAGCCCACAAGCCAACCTGATTTAGACAATTCATGAAGACTCTTGCTAAGTGATTTAGGTTGTGTCAAGTTGGCAGTTAAAACCAATCTGATGAAGGAAAAGCAGAAGTCACAGGATTGCAAAGAGGTGTAGTTAAGTTTGTATTCTTTCCCTATAAATGGAATTTCTGGTGAAGATTCCTAAAAAACAGTATGTTTTCAGACTGGAAGTAAAAAAAGCCTTAAACAGTTGGTAATTGCCAGGGAATTCTCTGGTAGAGATGGTTTCAGCTGCATATGGAGGCGACAGGGTCCTCTCTCTTCTCAAGTCCCTCAAAGGTGCCTGGCTGTTCTATCCTGCCTTAACACACACTTCAAATTCCTAATCAACCCAGGACACTTACTATAGTAATCATAACCATACATCGATGGTGGTGGGTGTATATAAAGGGGAAAGGCAGAAGACTGACATCTCAGTATTCGGAAGCTGATGCAGAGGGATTGCCATAAACTTTTATTTTCCAAGATATTATTTCTCTGTTTTAAACGAGGCTGTCCTTGAACTAGTGGTCGCTTGCCTCTGCCTCCCGAATGCTGGGATTAAAGACGTGGTAACTAATGTCCATGGAGATTGTAATGGTTTGAGTCCAGCCTGGGCTACACAGTGAAAGGCAAGGGTGTGGTGGAGAACGACTTTACTCCCAGCACTTAGGAGGCAGAAGCAGGCTGATCTTTGAGTTTGAAGCCAGCCTGGTCTATAGCGTGAGGTTCTGTTTTGAAAACCTAAAAAAAAAAGAAAAGAAAAGAAAAAAGAAAAGAAAAAGAAAAAAAAAAAAGACAACAAAACGAAAATAGCATAGCAACATTCCGTGCTGTGACGCAGGAGCACGTGACCGGCTACGTGCCACATGACCCGCTTTGAATTCACTGGGATCAGCTATACTGCCCAGCCAAGCCCCACGCCTGGCCAACCTGAGGCTTCTCATACTGACTTCCGCTATTTCTGACGCCTCCGAGGTCAATTTCTCCAAAGACCCGGTTGTGTCCGGCTCCATGTGACCTCACTTCCGTTTCGTAGCTTAGCCGGCACTTAAGCGCACGCGCAGCACGAGAACCCAGAGGCAATGGGTTCCTTCTGCGCAGGCGTTATGGGCCTGAGGGCGGGTCCTGTCCGCGCCGCGGTGCGCAGGCGCAGCCGTCGGTGGGTCGGGGCTTCGGTCGACTGAGAGGTGAGTTGGGGGGCTCCGCCGTGGTCCGAGGGGCATGTGGGTCGGTGGCTCGGGATGCGAGGCGCTCGGGAACCCCCTGAGGTAAAGATGGTTCGGGGTCCGGACTTCGGCGCCTCTCCGGTCACGTGAGCGGGCGGCGTAGCGGAGAAACTGAGTCAGGCGGCGTCCCCGTCGCTTTCTCATGAAAAGGCCGGCGTGTAGGTGTGGGGTACGTCAGCATCCTCGGGGGCCCCTCGGCTCTCAGGTGTCATCCAGCTTTGCCGCTCGCCAGCCTGGTGACCTTGCTCAGTCTGTTGCCCGCGCAGAGCCTCAGTTTCCCCCTTGTGTACAGTGGACGTGGTCACCGCTGTCTTTTCGAGCAGTGTTGGTGGTTTTCGGGTGTATGGGGTGAAGGGCGAGGGCCCCCATCTGTCTGCTGTGCCTACTAGGGCAGGTCGCTTGCCCTCTCTGAGCGGCTGTAAGGCAGAAGGCAGGTGTGCTGGCACACTTGCGATGCCAACACTGTGGATGCTGAGGGAGGAGGAGCGGCTTGTTCCATGCCAGCCAGGACTATACACTTTGACTCAAAAGAACCAAAACCAAAGGCCCTAAAGAATAGGCCAACTCCTTGGTCCATAATCTATTATGTTTGGGAGGGTGTGGTACTTGAATCACTGGGAGTTCAGGCCCAGCCTGGGCTATCTGGAGAGTTTCAAGGCCAAGCCTGAGCTATCTAAAGAAGAGTTTTAAGGCCCAGCCTGGGAGATATCCAGAGAGTTTCAGAGGCCCATCCCAGGCTTTCTAGAGAGTTTCGAGGTCCAGCCTGGGTTACCTAAGAAGTTCAAGTTACATGGACCACAGTGTGAGACCAATTTATTTTCGTTTGTTTAGACAATCGTTTTGTGTCCCTGGCTGTCCTTGAACACTGTGTAGTGTAGGCAAGGCTGGCCTCAGACTTCTCCCTCTTCCCAGGATTAAAGTGTACCACTACACCCTGCATCATAATTAATTTTGAAAAGGATGTTAACATAGCCAGTAGTGTAGTTGTAAACTTGGGTTGCTGCCTGTCATCCCACCGTGGGAGGCTGAGACAGGAAGATGGGAATGACATTCAAGGCCATCTTGGGCTACATAGTAAATCTCTCTCAAAATCCAAGTCTGGCACGCCATGCCTTTATTCCCAACACTTGGGTGGCAGAGGCAGGTGGATCTCAAGAGTTTGAGGCCAGCCTAGTCTACTGAGAGAAACCCTGTCTCAAAAACCAAACCATACAAGAAAATGAAACCAAAACAAGCCAAGTGAAATTGTTGTGAATGTCTCTGTCACCCAGAGGGTAAATGTACCTAAGTCTCCTTAGCATCCTGTAGGCTTGTCAGTCTTGGTGGAGGGCTGGGGAGGACACGGTCCCCACCGGTTTATCTGCTTCGGTCTGTTCCTGTCTCTGATTATTTGTTTGAGTGATCTCTCCTTTCTCTGGACATTCTTATCCCAAGGAACCCTGGGCAGTGACTGGGGACACTTGTGACTGCTGTGACTGAAGGGGCTTCAGACTTGTGACACTGAGTGGAGGTCAGGAACGTTGTCTAGAATGAATATCAGGATGCTCCTGATGGGGAGGGGAAGCAGCTGAATTTGATTCCTTACACCCACTCATGTAAAAAGCCACAAGTGGTAATCTCAGTGTGGAGGCCAGAGATAGGTGAATCCCTGGAGCCTTACCTTGTTCAGCTCTGTGTCCCAGAGTTACAGAGGGTTGTGAGTGGCTCATTTAGGTGCATGGAACTGACCCTCCACAACAGTAGCAAGTGCTCTTAAGCAGTGAGGTGTCCCTACCATCTGCAAGAGTTTTCTGAGGGTGAAGCCTAGCTGGTTTTGATTATAGCTATAGCAACATCCTGCCCCAGTTTCCTGCATGCTGGGATCACAGCCCTGGTTCTGTTATGCTTCTGTAAGGAAATCAATAACCAAAGGAGGGAAGCTGTGCTTGCCACATGCCACCCATCCACCCATGGTGTGGATGCTGCCTGGAGCTTGTACCCAGGAGGCCACTGTTCAGCCGGCTTTGAGGTGCCCAGCCGAAGATGATGCCCAAGGCTGCCTCAGGTTTAGGGGTAGGGTAGCACTTGGTGGTGTAGACCTAAAGTTTTTATCTGTTATACGTGAGGGACCACCCTTGAGTTTCAGGAAGTTTATTTAGTCTTCCATCCCTTCTCCCCACAGCAGGTACACATGCAGGGTCTTCCAGGGAGCTGGCAGGGGCCTTCATGTGTGCTATGATATCTGCTTGTCTTGCAGATGGACATGGGCTGTGGTGTAAGGAGCTGTTGTATTTTGGGCTGCATTTAGCATGGAGTGGACTGGGCAGGGCCTGTGTGGGGCTCTGAGGTGACACCCTTGACTTTGTGGGGCTCATCATTTTTCTTCAGCTCATTTGCCCTGGACAGGGGTGTAGGTAAGAAACACCAACTGTGCTGTGTTTGCATTTATTTTCAGACTGGATCATACTATGTAGCCCTGGCTGGTTTGGAACTTGCTATGTAGATCAAAGGACTTTGTCTTCTTCCCTTGAGACGGTACTCCTGACCCTGGAACTAGGTTTGGTGGCCAACAAGACCCAGCCATCCTCTTGTCTCCACTCATGCCCTGGCACCAGGGTTACCCACATGCATAACCATGACCAGCCATTAGGTGGGTTCTAGGAATCTGAACTCAGGGCCTTCCACTTGCTCAGTAGCTGCTATTACCCATTCAGTCCCCCTAGGTTTGTGTTTTGATTCTGAGGGGAAGGGGTGCTAATACACACCCATTGAGTTAGCACTGGGTGAGCTGGGTCTGGTGATGCACATCCATAGTGTTAACACTTCAGGGGGTTAGTTGAGGCAAGGGGTAGTGAATCTGAGGCTGCATAGCCACACTATGTCTCAGAAAGAAAGGGGGGAATAAAAAAGGGGTGTGGGGGAGAGGGGATGTGGAGATAGCACTGAGAGGTATTGGCTGCTTACCAAGGAGCACCCTGGGACTATGTCGTACCCCGCCCCCTGCAATTCTGTGCTCCACAGACCAGACTGAGCCTGGATGGTGGGCAGCTACTCTCAAAGTCCTCACTGTTCTGGGAGAATAGGCCTTTGAGATCCTTGTCCTTCAGCCACAGCCTTCCAAAACCCTCCATGCCTTGGGTATGAGAAATGGGGGTGGGGGTCATGGCTGCAGAGGGAGATCCATGACTTTCAGGTGCTGGACGGGGGGGGGGGGGTGTTTATGACCTAAACCATCATTGATTCAGAGCTGGGTGCAATGGGGGATTCCTTGTTGGGGCCATGTGAACCTTGACAAGAACACTCAACATGTCAGTCAATCACCACTGAGGGACTGTAGCTGCTGGCCAACAGACCCTTGTTGTCACAGAGCTGGCATGTCAGGTCCTTTTCATCTTCTAGTCCAGGCACACTATACCATAGAGGATAGATAGGGGCCATCCTACTCTCCACCTACTCCATACTCGCAGCTCCCGAGGGAGGATGGAGAGATGGCTCACCCTGGAGCTGACAGGGTGTACATGTGCTCCCTCATGCAGAAGAAGCCACGTACTATGTCTTTCTTGGTCAGTCACCATTCTGTCAGCGAACTCCAGAGGGCTGTTTCCACACCAGCCCTGGGTTACAGTGCATCACCGCACCTAGCTTTTTACGTGGGTGGGTGCTAGGGATTTGAGCTCAGGTCCTTGTGTTTGTGGAGCAACAAGCACTACCCACTGTGCTGTCTTCCAGCCCTAGTGTTCACACTGTGTGCATGTGTGTGTGTGCCATGATATTGCACACATGGAGGCCAACAGGACAATTCAGGAGTCAGGCCTCTCTCACGTGTGGGACCCAGGGATGAAATTTAGCTTGCCAGCTTGGTGACAAGCTTCCTTATTCACTAAGCCATCTTGCTGGCCACCTGTTTTTATTCATTTGTTTTTGATATTGGGGTGGGGTTTTTTTTGGGGGGGTAGGTTTTCAAGACAGGGTTTCTCTGTGTAGCCCTGGCTGTCCTGGAACTTACTCTGTAGACCAGGCTGGCCTCAAACTCAGAGATCTGCCTGCCTCCCTACCGATGGGATTAAAGACATGTGCCACCACTTCATTTGTTTATTGGGTCTTACCATAGCCCAGGATAGCTTAGAACTTGCTGTTCTCTGGCCTCAACCTCCAGGGTGCTGGGAAGAGAAGTGGCTTTACTGTGGATGTGTGGAGACCAGGCTCCCCTTTGGGACAAGCTTGGCCTCTGACTTCTTGGATCCACAGCCCACCATTGTTTGGTCCCTGGCTTGTGTTCCTGGGGGCCCATTTTTCCTTACAGTCAGACCCTGAACCTGGGTTTGAGGCAGCTGTGTTAACAGAGCGATCTCTCCCCTGGTGCTGATGGGAGGGTACAGGTTCCTCTCCAGGTGAGGGGACAGAGCTTGTTCTTGGAGTTCCAGAGCCTGGGTGGCTCCTTCTGAGAGGGGCCAGCTGTTGCAAGCCTACCCCATCTCTTGTCTTCATAGTGGTCCCCTGTGGGAGGGTGGGTCTCAAATATCTTCATATTGTTTTGGGAATAGGGTCCCAGGCTAGGCAAGAACTTTGGATTGAGTGGTATCCCCTGACCTGTGGAATTTAAAGGTAGGTGTGCGTGCGCGCGTGCATTCATCTGTCGGCCTGTCCGTCCGTCCATCCATCAGAGGGTGTCAGATTCCTGGGGCTGACGCTACAGGTGCTATGGGTGCTGGGAACTGAAATCTGTCTGCATCCTCTCCCCACCCCTATGCTTATTTTCTTTTCTTGACACAGGGTCTCCCTGTGTGGCTATGACTGGCCTCAAATTCATGGAGATCTACCTGTCTCTGCCAGCTGTGGCAGCACATTCAATCCAAGCCCTCTGGTTTCCTCAGACTGACCTTGAACTCAACAACATTCTCCTGTCTCAGCCACCAGGATCACAGTCTTGTGCCCCTACCCTAAATCTTTCCCTTTTGTTTGCTTATTTGTTTGTTTCACCATCCTGGCCTTATTTTAACCTGGTCACTTCTATAATGACTCTGTCTCCAAAGGCAATAATACTTGGGTTTGGAGGTTGGGGGGGGGGGTCTCTGTGTAGAAGCAAGGTGAATAGTGTATCTGCTGTGAGTTCTATGGATGCCAGCCTGGGAACAGTCCCTCACAGTGCTGTCTTCTTCATGTGTGTGTTAGCTGGAGATTGACCCTGTCCCTCTCAGTTCTTGATCTGAGGCTGCCTTCTAGAATGTTCTTCCAGGTACAATTTGATCACTGGTCTGGGGTTGAAAGCATGGCAAAGTGCCATTCACTGTGGGGCAGCCAGCATATGTGTCCTCAGGCTGGGTGTCTGGGTCCAGCAAACATGTTTGGAGCACTTGGCCAATGGCCAGTACCCTACCACTACTAAAAGCAACCCCTATGTCCTCGGTGCCCAGGATAAAAGTCACAGCAAAAGGGGCCTGCTGTGCACCTGGGGAGAGACAAGATAGCTATCCCTGCCTATGTGGTCCTGGTCAGCGGAGAGGACAGACAGAATTGAAAGACAATGGGTGCCAGGCAAGCATAGCCATGTGGCATCTCAGGTCTGATCTGGCACAGGCAGGAGCCACCCAGCCTGGTGGGTAGAACAGCCATAGGACTCCTAGCCACGAGGGACACCTTGGGAGGCCACAGAGTGCTGTGCCCCACACTGCTACCACCATTCCAGAATCTAGGCCCGCCCCTTTTAGCTCACCACCTGTGAAGACCTGCTGACACCGTCTTTAGGTGATAGGAGGAAACGGAGGCTCATGATACTGAGCTGGTCTCTGGAGGTCTCTGGGTCTATGCTGAGAGTTCATGACATCAGGGACAAGTATGGGCCCTGCTCTGGCTGAGGACAGTCCTTGAATGCCCAGTGGCTGTGAGGTTTCTATCAACCCCACTTGATAGGTGTGGCAGCTGAGGCTCTGAGGTAGAGCTTAAAGGAGGGTCACATGGCTTCAATTACATGCAAAGCTGGTGGGGGCTGTCATGTGATCTCATGCCAAGGGCCTTAACTCTAGGCCAGCTTCTGTCCTGGATTGGAGACCACAATCTGAACTGTCATGGCAGAGCCCCACTTCCGCAGCTGTCTTCCTTCCTGCCCTGTCCATCTCTAGGGCTGCTGTTGCCCTGGTCCCTTTGCTTGTAGCCTTTGTCATATGGTGTCTGTTGTGGTGCCAGGGTCCAAACACCCTTCCTCTTTGAGGGTTCCTGTCAGTGCTGACCATGCTCATGGAACCCTGCCCCAAGGGGACTGAGCTCATTGCTGCCTCCAAAGATTACTTGAGCTTAGGTTAGCTCCCAGGTAGTCAGGAATGCCCCATCCAGGTGTCTCTCTGGAGTCCAGAGATGTCCTCTTGTCACCATGTAGCGTCACCAGGTGTCTTGGGGACCAGAACTGGTGAGCTGAAGCACCTGCCAAGCTCTGAGTGTGGGGGGCATCAAGGAGCTAGACACCTCAAAACTCTGGGGTCCCAGTAAACAGCCACTGTCACCTGGCCCTGGGAGAGGCTGCCCTGATTGGCTGTCATGCTGCAACAGGGTAAATTGAGGAAAGAGTGCCTGGAGGCCACACTATTAGCTCAGAGCGTGATCTCCATCCCTGTGTCTTGTGAGACAGACATTTCTATGTGGCAGACAGGTCTGTGGCCCCATGCCATGGTGTTCCCAACTGTTACAGAGGCGGATAGAAGGCTCTGCCTAGTGGCCTTGATACTAGAACTGGCTGGTGCTCTTGGACCAGTTCTGGTAATGGCTAGGTGCCAGGAACCCATGAGTCAAGGGCAGGTCTCAATCTCTGGTTCTACATCCTACACTTGGGCTGTTCCCACAGATCCTGAACAAGCAGTGTCACCTCATCAGCCTTGAGATGGACAACAGGAAGCGCCTGGCCTATGCCATCATCCAGTTTCTGCACAGCCAGCTGCGGCATGGTGGGCTCTCGCCCGATGCCCAGGAGAGCCTAGAGGGTAGGTGTGGCTGCTGCCCTGCCAACCTTTGTCTGGGCCCAGGACATAGCAGCCTGTCAACCACAGGTGCAGGAGGCAGCCAGCATGCATGCCTGGCCATCTATCCCCATCCTTGGCTCATGAGGGGAGTGGCAGGTGCCCAGCTTCCCACTGGTACCCTGAGTTCCCCTTGCCACTCCTCATCTCCCTGCTGGCAGCCAAGGTACAGTTTCGATCTGCTGAGCCCCTTACTGTGGCTGTCCTTACTGTGCCTCCCAGATGCCAGCATCTTACATGGCCTGCCACCCTTCTGCTCTGCAAGGACAGTTGTTCCTGGGAGTAGCCTTAGTTGCTAGTGGCCTCCTGTGCCTTCCTCGTAAACAGTGAGTCTGTTGGGGTCACTTAAAGGAGCAGAAATGACTCAAAGAGAGCTGTGTCACCAGAGCCCACCTCAGCATGGGTGACAGCTCTGACCTGGAGTGCACCACACACCCTGCAGGATTGTTTCCCAAGGTGCCACTGCTCCGAGGCTCTGGGCAGCTCTTCCTGCCTCTGTGTGCTTGACTTAGCCTGCTACATCCAGTCTGTTGTAGAGGTTCCGGAAGCCCAAGCTGCTGACTTCCTGTCTCAGCCAGCTCCCTGGCAGTATGAAGTGCTAGTCAATGATGGGGCCAGGCCCTTAGGGCCATCGTGGCAATTTGCCCCCAGGAGTGGCAGATCCATAGCATGGATACCACCCTGGGGAAAGATGGCTGCCCCAGGGCATAGGGACACTAACTGTCCTCTCCATGGCAATTTGTACTGTTCCCAGAGGATAAGTGCTGGTCTCAGGTCAGGCCAAGCCTCAGCATTGTGACCCCACAGAGAGCATGAGGTCTCCCATCTCAGGCCTCCTGTGTGTGGCTCCTACTGTCAGGATGAGCAAGCGTGTTTATGAGGCCAACTGAAGGTTGAAGACATGAGTGCTGGGCTGGGCTCAGTGGGTAGAAAGCACAACCTAGCTTGTCTGAAGTCCCAGGCTCAAACCAGGTGTGATGGTATACACCTGTTCCCAGGGGTAGAGGCAGGAGGGTCAGGAGTTCTGGGACATACGTGGCTATGTAGAGTTTGAGGGCAGCCTGGGCAGTAAGAGACCCCATCTCAAGAAAAGGAAAATGGCAGAGCTTTCTCTGTGTTCTGCCTCATGCTTGGGAACCCTGCACTCCATGGAGACCAGTTCCATCTTCCTTCTGTATAGTTGCCATCCAGTGTCTGGAGACAGCCTTTGGGGTGACAGTGGAGGACAGTGACCTAGCTCTCCCCCAGACCCTGCCAGAGATATTTGAAGCAGCTGCTGCCAGCAAGGTGAGCCTGGGCTTTCTTTGACTGCACCATGATGGCAATGTATGTGGGCATTTGATACTTTACCTGTTCTCCCAGCCGTGTGAACTGGGTAGCATCCTGCAAGGGCAGGTTTGGCTGGACCACTGGGATTGTTTTGCCCCAGCAGGAGATGCCACAGGACCCAAGGGCCCCCGACAGGACGCCACCCTCTGAGGAGGACTCCGCTGAGGCAGAGCGCCTCAAAACTGAAGGTGAGGGAGATAGCTGTCCCCATGGCAGCCTCTGCAAGGTGCCAGAGAGACTGGTCAGTGAGGTGGCCAGTGGGGAGGGAGAGGGGGTGCTTTTAAAAGTGCATCTGTGGGGTGCTAGAGAGATGGCACAACAGTTAAAAACTCACTTTTCTTGTAAGGGGCCTAAGATTGGTTCTTAGTATCCTTGTCAAGCAGCTAGCTTACAGCTGGTTCCGTGCCCAGCTCTGGGGGACTCAGTCCTCTCTTTTGACCTCTCTGGGCACTGCACCCACATGTCCATACACACATACCTAATGCAGAATAAAATACACATTCTGGCATTCAAGAGGTATTTCAGTCTTTATGAGTTCAGGTGAATCCAGTCCACATGGTGTATTTCTAGGCTGGCCAGGATTCCATTGCAAGACCCTCAAAAACAAATCAATTTTTTAAAAAAAGATATTGAGAAACAATAAGCCGGACAGTTGTAGTGCATACCTTTAATCTAAGCCTCTGCAGGTAAATCTCTGTGTGATCAAGGCCAGTGTGGTCTACTGTGTCTCAAAAAACCAAAGCTGGGGGGGTGGGGGAATAAAGCTTAATGGCCTGTGTGAACAGTGGCTTTCAGGAAAACCCCAAAAAGACTCAAGCTCAGGCAGATCACAGCCCCTGTATTGCAATCCATCTGTGCCTTCTAGAAGGTGGGTGGCTCTACCTGTCCCTGGCTCTGCATGGGAAACACTCTGCTGGAAAGTGAACCTGTGCAGCCTGGATTCTTTGTCACCCACACACTACAGTGGGCCCGTCCTGTACCCAGCACTGCCATATCCTTGGAGGTGTACAGCAGAGCCCTTGCCCAGCACATGTGAAGCTGGCTTCCATTTCCAGCACCATACTCACCAGGCATGGTATCACACCTGTCATTTCAGCACTGGGGAGGTAGAGGCAGGAGGGTCAGGAGTTGGCTGTGTTATAAGTTTGAGGCCAGCCTGGGATACATGATCCCTTATCTGAAAGTAAGTCCCAGTGTCACCAGGGTGTTGGCTCTCCTTTTTGGAATCTTAGCACAGAGAAGCTAGGGGTTGATGGTAGCTTGGGCCAGCCTGGGCTCCTCTCTTGCCCTGCAGGTAACGAGCAGATGAAGCTAGAGAACTTTGAGGCGGCTGTGCACCTCTATGGCAAGGCAATTGAGCTGAACCCTTCCAACGCTGTCTACTTCTGTAACAGGTACTGTTGTAGCCGGGAGGGGCACAGTGGCAGCCATGGGGGACCTTGGTGTGGACTGTGACTGTGCATGCTACACTGTGGCTCCCAGTGAAGAGTGAGGGTCAGGCGGTCTCCGAGAGTATGGGAAGAGTCAGTACTGGTGTCATTTGAGGTTGCATGATTCTCACACAGGACCCTGACAAGGTGATAAAGGGAGCTCTGTGCCAGACGGCTGGAGATTCATGTGCTTGTCCTCACCCATGCTGTTATTTTCCTTTTTGTTTTCATATTATCTGAGGCAGGGTGTACCTGTCAAGGCCTGTTGTAAGCTTTGGAGCTTCAGTGGTCCGTGTGTGTGTGTGTGTGTGTGTGTGTGTGTGTGTGTGTGTGTGTGTGTGTGGTGGGGGCTATAGTGCCTACCTTCCTACCACAGACCAGCTCCTAAAGAGGCCTTTGTCCCCTACTAACTGTTCCTTCTCTCCAGAGCTGCAGCCTACAGCAAGCTGGGGAACTATGTGGGAGCAGTGCAAGACTGTGAACGCGCCATTGGCATTGACCCAAGCTACAGCAAGGCCTATGGCCGAATGGGGTAAGTGCAGCCAGCAGCTGTGCCCCTCCTCCCTCCATAAGGACCTGGTACCCCCAGCTGCCTTGTCAGTTGCCATTTGCCAGAGCAGCTGCAGCACCAGGGAGACTCAATGCCTGTGTTGTGTGCTCATCACCAAGGCAGGTTGTAGGGATGCAGCTGACAGGCAGATGCCTGGGCCAGCCTTCCCCAGTGAGCAAGATGTGTCTGTGTCCCCAGCCCTCTTTTTCATTTCAATTTTTACTTTTACTTACATTTGTTTTTTGGGACAGGGTTTCTCTGTGTAGCCCTGGCTGTCCTGGAACTCACTTTGTAGACCAGGCTGGCCTCAAACTCAAGAGTTCCACCTGCCTCTGCCTCCTTAGTGCTGGGATTAAAGGAGTGTGCTACCACTGCCCCATCCCTTTGTTTTAGGTTCTCCAGGTCCCCTCAGTAGTAGCCTTGGATGTGGGCTAGGGCTTTTTATGGAGAGTGGGAGACATTTGTAAACCAGGAAGGGCCACTGGTGTCAGCTCCTGGTGACAGGAACATGAATAATCTTCCACTCCTCCTTGGGCTCCTCAGGCTGAGGAATGAGCCCTGTGGAGCCCTTCCCCATGCATATGGATCTGTCCTCATGCGGCTTCACCCCTGTTCCCTCCCGGCCTTGGCCTATAAAGTAGACAGGGTGGGTTTGATGCTGGATCCCATTGGCCCCCATTGTAGCTCACCCAGCATGCTCTTGTCCCAAGCCTTGCACTCTCCAGCCTGAACAAACATGCCGAGGCTGTGGCGTACTACAAGAAGGCACTGGAGCTGGACCCTGAGAACGACACATACAAGTCCAACCTCAAGATTGCAGAGCTGAAACTTCGGGAGGCACCAAGTCCCGTGAGCCCATCCCATAGAGGGGTGATGGGAGGCCATGCTGGAGCACATGCTCTGGGAGGGCACCTGGGATGGCAGGGCAGAGCAGGTCACACTGGTCCATGTGGACATAGAGGGGCTGCGGACATGTAGTAGGGACCCTCTATGGTCTCTGTGATGGTGACAGGTTGAAGGGCACAAAATGATGGGGTACAGGCTGCCGGGGGAGGGTTCACAGTGACAGGCAGGCTTGTTGGGGGCTCCTGGCAGGACCCTCCCTGAATGGTGTAGAGCCTCCGAGACCCTGAGGGCTGCGGCTAGTCGTCTTTTACCCAGAGTGGCCAGCCTGGCTTCAGACACCACTAACCGATGCTTCTTCTTCAGACGGGAGGCGTGGGCAGTTTGGACATCGCCGGCCTGCTGAACAACCCACACTTCATCACTATGGTAGGTAAACACCTTCAGCTCTCCTGCCACCCAGGCCAGGGGTCCCACCTCCTGGGCCTCACTGTAGGGACAGCAAGCCTGTGGTGCCATATGCCTGCTGTAAGGCCACCTCCCTTCATGGCCATCCCTGGGCGTTTCACTATGTCTGCTCTATAGGCACTGCAGCCTCAGCCAGCAGGGATTGGTTGAATGTCCTTGCTCAATGTGTCACTTCTGGGGCAGGACTGCCATAGACTACTCTTGACTCTGGACTGTGCCCCACACTCCTGCCGGCCACATTTTGTGACTAAAGCTTTGTTTGCTCAGTCTAGGGGTTTCCACAGGGCAAAGATGGCTGTTTGGAGTTGAGCAGTGATTTTCACCTTGAAAGGCTCAACTCAACTGGGCATAATGGTGCAGGCCTGAGAGCCAAGCAGTGGGATGCTGAGACAGGAGGATGGAAAGTTCCAGAGCAGCTTAAGTTATACCCTGACACTGGGGTGACCTGGGCTGCATGAGGATTACCATTGGAAATAAGGAACTGGTGTCAGTGGGAGCCAGTGGGAGGGAGCTGGCACAGCCACCAGGAGGTGTGCACTGGACTGCACCAGGGAGGTCAAGTGTGGCTAAGGCTCAGCCTCTTCCTGATATGTCTGCCTTCTTTCCTCTTCAGGCTTCCAGCTTAATGAACAGTCCCCAGTTGCAGCAGCTGTAAGTGACACAGTTCTTGCTGTCCTTCTGTGGCTAGAATACAAGGGACAATATTCTTCTTACTTTTCTAATTTTTATTGTATGTGTATGGATGTATTGCCTGCGTGTATTTCTGTTTACCATGTGTGTGCATGGCCCAATGAAGCCAGAACCCAGTGCTCCAGCTGTGAACCATCCCTCCATCCCTTATAGTTTTGTTTTTGTTTTTCAAGACAGGGCTTCTCTGTGTAGCCCTGGCTGTCCTGGAACTCACTCTTTAGACCAGGCTGACCTTGAACTCACAGAAATCCATCTGCCTCTACTTTCCAAGTGGTGGGATTTTTGTGTGTGCTACTACTGCCCTGAAAATTTTTTTTTTTTTTTTAAATAAGAGCAAAAGTTGCTTCTTTGGTTGTCGTTGTTGTTTTTTTTTTTTTTTTTTTTTTTTTTTTTTTTTTGGGTGTGTGTGTGTGTGTATTTATGTGTTATTGTTTGATTGTTTTGTTGTTGTTTTTTTTTTTTTTTTTTTTTAATAAAAGAAAGCCAGAGTTTTACTTAACATTTACATTTTGAGGCCAGGTCCTACCAAGTAGCTCCAACTGGAACTCTTAATGTAGACCAAATGACCTTGAACTCATAGTGCTAGATTAAGTGTGGTGCATTGCCTAGCCTAGAGTTTATTTATTTTTAATAAGGAACTGGGTGGGCCGGACATTGGTGGTAAACGCCTTTAATCCCAACACTTGGGAGGCAGAGGCAGGTGGATCTCTGTGAGTTCGAGCCCAGCCTGATCTACAGAGCTAGTTCCAAGATAGGCTACAAAGCTACACAGAGAAGCCCTGTCTCAAAAAACCAAAAAAAGAAAAAGAAAAGAAACTGGGTGGTATTGTGCACCATTGTATTATCATGCAACTGCTACTACATTCTACTTAGTCTTCCATCCCCATGAGCCATTACCCCATTCTCTCTCCAAATCTCAGCACCCCCAGATTTACCTCCTGACTCTACGTTGGCCTGTTGTGGACATTTCCTATCTATAGAGCTGTATTTGGGCCTTTTTGGTCTGACTCATGAATTAACATAGAGTTTTTGGGATCTCTCTGCTATGGCGTGTGTCAGAGCCTCCTATTCAGGGTTGTGTAATATTTTAGTGTGTCATGAGCCATTTGTTCTGACCACTGTCAACTGTGCTGCTGTAACACACTGGGTCAGAACCCAGAGTCAGCTCTGTCTTGCTGAGGAATGGCAGGGTCTGATTTTACACTCAAACCCTACAGGACTTTCTCATCCTTGTCACTGTGTATGTTTGTGCTGCTGGCTTGTTCTCCGTAGGGTGTCTGAGGTCTGTTCCACTTCCTGTCAGCTCCCTACGCTGTCAGTAATGAGAAACACTTGTTGACTCAGCTTAGAGTCTGAGAGGAGGGGACATGGCTATGGGAACCACCCACTCACCTGACCAGGAGTTATCTGTGGCTCCTGGAAGGCAGAAGGCAGTGGCTGCCCAGGCCATCTGCTCAATCCTTTCTCCTGCAGGATGTCAGGCATGATCTCTGGCCATAATCCCTTGGGTACTCCAGGCAGCAGTTCATCACAGAGTGACTTGGCCAGCCTCATCCAGGCGTGAGTGCTGCTGCAGGTTGTGGGAGGCTGGGGGGGCACTCACATTTGGGAGGGGGGAGCATGAGATGCTGCTGTGGGTGGAGGTACTGTCATCCCAGGGTTGAGGAGGGGCAGCAGGAGTGGGGAGGAGAGCAGGAGTGCTGCTTCTGGTTGTGGGGGATTGGGAAGGGGGCTGACACACATCCCAGGGGTGAGCTATTATGTGGGGCATTGGGGGGGGGGAGGATGTGAGGGAGCAGTCCCATCAGGAGGGGAGAGCACAGTCAGGTCTCCTGGGTATCCACAGGGGCCAGCAATTCGCACAGCAGATGCAGCAGCAGAACCCAGAGTTTGTGGAGCAGATCCGGAGCCAGGTGGTGCGCAGCCGGACACCCAGCGCCAGCCACGAGGAGCAGCAAGAGTGACGGTAAAGCCACCAGTACTGCCTGGACCGACTACCAGGCAGTCCTGTCCTTGCTTGTCAGTACCCATAAGAAGTCCATTTCTGTCTACATGAGAATTAGTGTGTGTGTCCAGAGCTGCCAGGGATAGCCCTGCAGAACCTTAACTTTTGCCTTTTTGTCATTCTTCTTAATCACAGCAGTGCAGATGATCCTGGGCCTTATTCTGTTCAAAGGGCTTCACCCTGACTACTCCCCCAAACCCTCCTTTTTATTCCTTTATTCACACCTTTGTGTATGGCCCTGGGCACACATGTACAGTCATAGCCAACCTCAGGTGTTGGTTCACAGACCCTAAACTTTAGGGCTGTCACTGGCCTGTGATTTTATTAAGTTCTCCAAGTTATATGGCTGGCAAGTTCCCACCTCCATCCCCGGACTTGCTAGCATGATCCAAGTGCTTGACTGTTTATATGGCTTCTGGGGACTGAATGCAGGTCCTCGGATATCAGAAGTTAACACAGTCACAGACTGAGCCATCCCCCAGTCCTGATGTTTGGTTTTGGTCTCAAGAGTGTTGGGTGACAGGTGTGTGTCTCTTCATTCAGCCGCTGATTGTTTCTCTGAAGCCACAGTGTCCCTGGGTGTCCCTGTCTGTCCTCCCTCACTGGGCTTTAGTCTGGTCATGGCTCTCACTGCCCTGGCTTCTGTTCACAGCTCATCTGTGTGGTGATCCCATCGATCTTTGGCCTCCTGGTGTTTTAGCATTTTCTCCGTCGGGCTGCCCAAGAAAGAGAAACTGGACCTGCATGTTAAGATGGACTCGTTCCCCTGTTTCTCTTCATTTCCCACCCTCCCACTTCATTTTTGTATTCTTGCCGGCTCCACACCTTCCTGGAAGAGTCAGCCAGAGAGCTACACACCAGCACCCATTCCTCCGGCACCCAGGGAAGCTGAGGGGTGGGGGCACGAGGATCCATGGGGTGTAGCCTGGGTCCTTGAGTCTCAAGCCCTACCCTGCCCAGCTAAAGGGACTCGAATAGTTGACTCTCAGCCCCCTGGGAAGCGTCCACTGCCAGCCCAGCTGGGTGCCAGCATTTTGTGCCCACACTTGGGTTGCCAGTCCTAGCAGGTGCCCTGTCTGCCTTATCCCAGTGACCTGTGCCACACAGGAGACACCTGCCCCACTTGTGGACCGTCCGTGTCTCCTTTCCACAGCTTCCTCTCCCGTCTTCACAGCCATCAGCCAGTCCTAATTTTGTGTCCAGTCCGGCTCCATCCTCAGCCTGGGCAGAAGACTCGGACATCCTTGTCCTCAGTCTCCTGGGAATTCGACGTCTCTGGTTAGCAGGCAGTTTTGAAGTATTGGCCCACAGGCCATGTTCTCAGCCCTGAAACAGCCACCAGAACCATTTTTGATCAGGGCTGGCTCTGTCCAGTGAGGCCATGTGGATATCCCCACACCCACTCTCAGCCCTAGGTGGGAGGGAGGCAAGATCACAGGACAGCTGACCAGTGGTGGGTCATGATGGCATCAGTCTGTGTGGCAGGTAATGTCAGCCTTGTGTGTTGTAGGTAGCCAGTAGGAAGATGGGCCCCTTGGCCAGTGCCGTCTGCTTGCAGGTGGCAGCAATGCCCACCTGGGTAATAAAGAGACAAGGATGATACTTGGCCTCCGGTATCAGTCCTACTGACCTAATGACTTACATACTACAGCTTGGAAGGGGCAGTCTGTCCTGGCACACAGGAGACATATGGCAAGGCCCTTTAGATATGGTATACATGGGAACCTCTGGGTTAGAGCTGGGCACAGGCTACTGATAGGTTTATGGGGACATGGCCTGTGCCCATGGAAAATGGGTTCCTGCTCTCTGACCTGAGGGTTTGGCCATGTAGCCAGCAGGCTACCTGGTCCCTTGCCTGCTGTCAGCTCCCACAGATAGCAGGAGACAAAACCATGTTGGGGAGGTGGTAGGAGGCAGTTGGAGGCTTGCAGCCCGCAGACCCAAAGTGGGGTTACAGGCTCAGTGGAGCAGGGGGTGTCAGGACCCCAGGTTCTGGGACTACAGAGAACAGCCTTAGCCAGTTGTGTAGTCTTCAGGATAAGTAATCCCTGAGCCTGACCATGTGGTCCTCTGTGTCAGGGACCACTTTCCTTGGTGGCCATGTCATTGGCCTACAGCGGTGAGCATTGGAGAGCTGCCGGTGATGGTGGACACTCCAAAGCTTGACAGTATTGACTTCCACCTGTGCCTGTCAGCATACCCAGCCAGCCATTCTAATTCCTGATCTGAGTCAGCAGCCATGATAACTTGCCTGTGCATGCTGGCACACCTTTAATCTCAGCAGTTAGGAAGCAGGGGCAGGTGATCTCTGAGTTAAAGGCCTGCCTGGTCTGCACAGTTCCAGGGCTATATATGCCCCATCTTAAAAATAATCTGTTTTGAAAGGCCACAGCATATATGGAGACTTTCTCCTTCAGTTCTTCTGTTATGTGGGACCCAGTGATGGAACTAGGCTCTCATGGCTGGCCCCTCCTTGAGAACTTCAACCCATCTATGGAGGGCAAAACTACAATATGCTCAAATATAAACTCTATGTTCTTGGGCAGTGGTGGTGCACGCCTTTAATCCTAACACATGGGAGGCAGAGGCAAGTAGATCTCAGTTTGAGGACAGCCAGGGCTACATAGAGAAACCTTGTCTCAAAAAATGTGTTCAGAAAGTAGCCCTGATGTCTTTAGGCTTCGCAGGCGATAGGTCATCTAGCATCTTGTCTCTTGCAAGAGTGATTCACAAAATCTCAGGCTCATCCCTGGATGAACCTCACCTTAGGGCAATCATGTGGCTCCATGTCCATTGGGTTGTTTCTTCCCTCTGAGAATGTTGTCAATGTACAGTTTGGGCTAGCCTCAAGCTCAGTAACCCTGCTTCAACCTCCTGAGTGCTGTCACCAAGCCCAGCTGAATGACATTTTGTAATTACAAGAGGGATGAAGAATGGGGCAGGGGCTATCAATCATATCCTGGCACTCGGAGGAGGAGTCAAGAGAATCAGAAGTTAAAAGCCAGCGGAAGCCAGGTAGCAATGGGTTGGGAAGGATGGGCTTGGTGTCTGCAATGACATGATAATCCTCTCAGCTGACACTTTGAGGTTCCCTGTAGTGGCTACCCTGTTGTAGAGTTTGGCTGTCTTGGAACACAAGTCATCATGGACTCCGGGCTACATCTGTGGATGTGTGCCTGTTTGACACCCGAGTGTCTCCTCCTGGTTTGGAGTGGGTGTACTCCAGAGAGACTGCAGGGCCCCCATACAGAGAACTACTTGAACCTGAACTCACTGCACCTGGCTCATCCCTATTGTGGCATAAGCCAGTGCTAGGTTTGGTTTGCTCATTTTGAGACAGTTTCCCTGTAGCCCTGGCTGTCCTGAAATTTACTCTTTAGACGGCTGGCCTTGAACTCAAGAGACCCTCTTGCCTCTGGCTCCAGAGTGCTGGGATTAAAGTGGTGCTCCACCACTGGCCAGCTATGGTTTGGGCTTTTAGTATCAGGGTAGGAAATGACTCACTGGTTAAGAGCACTGGCTACTCGTCCAGAGGGCTCAAGTTCTGTTCTCAGCACCCACACTGCTATTCACAACTCTAATCCCAGTTCCAGAGGGTGTGACACCCCCTCCTCCTCTCCTACAGCACTGCACATGGTCACAGGCACATGCTGGCAAAACACTGATACACATATAGTAGTAAATTGAGGCAGAGGCATGAGGATCTCTTGAGTTTGAGGCCAGCCTGGTCTGCAGCATGAGTTCCAGGACAGCCAGGGCTACTTAGACTGTGGCTCAAGGGAAAAGACTGGAAGTTGTGTGCTTCCCCGTGTTATTTGACAAAATTTGCCTAGAGAGGTAGGCACCGTTCAGAGCATGGCCAGCAGGGGGAGCCCTTTGCTTGCAGCCTCCAAGCTCCAGGGTGCCCAAACTGCCATTGCAGCAACAGGCCCACAATCCACAAGCACTGGTGCCCCAGGTGAGCCTTGTGCTCACTCTCAGTCCAGGTTTTCCTTACAGAAACAGGAGAAGATGTCCAGAGCTCAGGTGTGACCACCCATTCACAAGGTGGGCAGAGAGCCCTTCCCTGGGGAGCTGGGGCTGCAGGTGGGCCTACATGGAGATCCAAAACTTCATGTAGGATGGGCTGGACCCCATCCTCAGGGCTGTGAGCTGCTCCAGGTTTACTTGATTCCAGCCTTTGTCCCATTCAAACTACAGAACCAGGTCCACTCCTGCCATCTGCAAACTAGGGAGGCTGAGGCAGGAGAATCAAAAGTTCAAGACGGCTCAACTACAGAGCTAGGCTCTGCCTCAAGAATTCAGACCAAAAAGGCCAGTGGCCTTCATGCTTGCTGGTGGCTACCAGAGGCCTCCTCCCTCCCATTGCTATGTAAATTTGGGGATCATAATGATAAAACATTCCTATAAACCTTGACACAAACTTTCCCAGTGCCCATTACAGTTTATCTCCAAGAATCAGCAGCCCCAGCCAGACCACGAACTTCTTCCCTTCATGCTAACCTTGCCTTTTCCTAGAATGTTTTGGAGTTAACGTCCCAGCACTTTATGTTTTAGGTTCTCAACACAATGTTGAAAGGATTCATATTGCAGAATTGACATTTTAATTGCTGTATAGTTTCCCACTGTATGGACATACTATGGTATTTTTATTCACTCAGCAGTGGATGTTAGGGTTCAGTGTTTGGGAACTCGTAGTTTGTATCTTTTTGTCTATTTTGTATGTTGCCTATTTTATATGCTTTATTGCTGTGAAGAGACACCATCATCACAGGAACTCTTTGTTGGGGGGGAAGGGAGTTCAAGACAGGGTTTCTTTGATTAGTCCTGGAACTTAATGTAGTAAGATATCTTTTCTCTTTTGGGGGCTCACCACCCAGCTCCCAAGCAAATCACACACAGGGACTCAAGTTATGAATGCCCAACCTTAGCTTGACTTGTTTCTAGCCAGCTTTTCTTAAATTGTCCCATCTACCTTTTGGGGCTTTTCCTATTCTCTTACCTCTGTAAATCTTACTCTTATCCATGGGTGGCTGACCCTGTCCCCTCCACCCTGTTCTCTGTTCTCCTCTTCCTCAGTTTTCTTTCTATTTATACTCTCTGCCTGCCAGTCCTGCCTATCCTTGCTCCTTCCATGTTGGCTGGCTGTTCAGCTCTTTATTAAATGATCAGGTGTTATAGATAGGCACAGTAATATAGCTTCACAGTTAAACAAATGCAGCATAAGCAAAGTCACACACCTTAAATAATATTCTACCACAACTTACTTTGTGACCAGGCTGGCCTCAAACTTGGTGATCCACCTGCATCTGCCTCCCAAGTGCTGGGATTAAAGGCAGCACTGCCCAGCTTTATGGCAACCCCTATAAAGGAAAAAAAAATGGGAGGTTTACAATTTGAGAGGTTTAGTCCATTACTTCCATGGCAGTGTGTGGGCAGACATGGTGCTGGAGAAGGAGCTGAGAGTTAATAAATTTTGATTCTCAGACAACAGCAAGTGAACTGACATTGGGCATGTCTTGACCATATGAGTCCTTAAAATCCACCCCACAGTGACACATTAACTCCAACAAGATGACACCTAATCCAACAAAGCCACACTTCCTAATAGTGCCACTCCCTATGAGCTTATGGGGATTAATATGTATTTTTAAAAAAATTTTTGAGATGGTTTCTCTGTGTGGCTTTGTAGACCAGGCTGACCTGGAACTCAGAGATCCACCTGCCTCTGCCTTCCCTTCCTGAGTGCTGGGTTTAAAGGCGTGCACCACCACCATCCTGCTGTATTTAAATTTATTATATATATATATTATATAATACAATATCATATACCATATTTAAATATATTCCAACATATTATATACTAGCACATATGCATGAGGTTTTTGGCTACATGTATATTTGGGCACCAGTTTTCTGCCTGGTGTCATGTAGTCTTGAAGGAGGCATCAGATCCCCTATGTCTGGAATTACAGATGGCTGTGAACCACCATGTGGGTGCTGGAATTGGAAATTCAAGTTCTTTGCAATAGCAGCCAATGCTGTTAACCTCTGAGCAGTCTCCTGGAACCAGTTTATGTGTGCTTTTTTTCTGTATGTTTGTGAACCACTTCTCTTCCTGCTGCCCGTGGAGGCCAGTGGGTGTCAGATCCCCTGGAACTGGAGTTGTGGATGGTTGGTTGTTAGCTGCCTAATATAATTAGGCATGACCGCATTTGGTAGCTCAGACTGGCCTCAATCAACAGTCCTCTGGCCTTGACATCTCGAGTGCTAGGACTGCAGCTATGAACTACCATTCACAGTGTATATTTTGAGACCAAGCTCTCTCTATGTGTAAACCAGGTTGGTCTTGATCTCACAGAGATCTATCAGTTTCTGCTCCTGCCTGAGTGCTGAGATGAAAGGTACGCTACTATATGGGCCTGGCTAATCCTAGCTCTTATAAAAACAACTTTATTGTTGTTACTCTGTGTATGACTCACAGTGGGTGTACAGGTGCATGTGAGATACGGTGTGTGTGTGTGTGTGTGTGTGTGTAGAGGTCAGAGGTCAATTTTATATTGCGTTCTACCTTGGAACCTTGCACGGATTCATGACATTAC